TAATCAATCCCATAATGTTGGAAATAATGTTTTTAATTTTTCACAAGTATATTTTATTCTATAAAAACTATTTTGTATATTTAATCTCTATCATCTTATAAAATAATTTCCTTATGCTCAATTTCTTGAAGCAACATTCCTGGGTTAAACAGTACAGTAAACCTTATTTTTTTTTTATCCATCCTGTAAAAACAGCTCTAAGAAGGCTCTGTCCTTTTATACTACTACCAGAAATATATCAATATGCTTATTACAACATACAGACTCTAAACAATGTACTTTTTATAATTTACTTGGTCTTTGACTAGTTGATAGGAGAAAACATTACCAAATGTTCTTTTATATGTGTATTGTTGATTATTATGAAAGCTAATAAAATTTTTAATATATTTATTGGTCATTTATATTTATTCTTTATTAAATTGCCCATATTATTTATTAATTTTTCTATTAGGTGACCAACTCCTTATTGATTTCAAGGGGCATGAAAATGATGAGTATACTAAAACATTGCCTACGATATATATTGTCAATATATGTTTTTTGTCTTTTGTCATTAATGAAAAATGAATGCTTGGGGTACCTGGGTGGTTCAATCAGTTAAGTGTCCAACTCTTGATTTCAGCTCAGGTCATAAGCTTACAGACTGTGAGTTCACGCTCCACTTCAGGCCTGGACTGACAGAGTATAGCCTGCTTGGGATTCTCTCTCTCCCTGCCTCTCTGCCCCTTTCATGCTTGTCATTATCTCTCTCTCTCTTTCTCTCTCTCTCTCTCTGTCTCTCAAAATAAATAAACTTTTAAAAAAATTTAAAAAAGTGTATGCTTATGGAAGTTTTTGTTTGCCTGCAGGTTGAGATTTTTCATACAGAAGTTTCCAAATATTTACATAACCACATTCAACAATCTTTACACTTGTGATGCTTTCTGCTCAATTGTGCATGAATGTGCCCACGCATGTGCAATAGATAAAATCCCAATACCCAACTTCATAGTTAATGGTAAAGCAAAACTATTCCTTTTTTTCACAGGAGAGTCACTTGTCAAAACTTATCCTTTCTTCTATGGTTTGGTCACTCTCATCTTCATTCCTCTTGTTTAAAGTATACTAAATTAATTTGCCAGGATTCTCCACACTTTCTATCCATACAACTCTACTAATATAATGACTTTAAGGATGGCTTCCTGTGTGTTTCTTCAATTTATTTAAAACAAAAATATCTGTCAGAAAGTATCCAAAGTTTGTGGTATATTCTTTGCAACGTTCATTATTTTCAGGATGAATAAGCATCTATCATCAATAATATGAAAAGTCATATCTATCTACTACACAGTACCATTAAGCCCTTAAGACTGTTGCCATATTTTGTTTGTTTCACTTATCTGTTTTTTGCTTACCTGTTTGTCATGCTGTTTTAATTGCTTTCTACTTTAAAATATAGTATATTATCTAGTATGAAAAATGTTTCCACATTAGTTTGTTTTTTCCAAAAAATATTATAGTATATCACACATTTATCCCTCCAGATTAATTTTAGAACTATTTTCCAACATGTATTGTAAAGTGAGAAGTTAAAGGAAGTTGACAGTACTTGTGACTTTGATAGAAAAGAGTTGCAAAGAAATATTTAAAGAAAAGTGACATAATTAAAATGTTGAGAATCCCTATATAAAAAGCAAATGTTTTGCCATTTATTAAAATTTCATTTATGTTCTTAAATAGAATTTAATACTTGTTTCAGTATGATCCCTGCATAATACTTTCTAATTTTATGCACAGGGATTTTATATCATTACTCTTGTCATGATTATGAGCTAGATTATTTCTCCAATATATTTTATAAATAATAATTATTGGTATATGTTAAAGGTTATCATTTATTTGTTTGCAATTGGCTACATCACCTAACTCTTATTATTTCTAATAGTTTCTCAATTGATTTTTAAATATTTCCTAAATGGCTAATCAAGCTATCAATACATCATACTATTTTACCCTCTTTTCTTATATACATAACATTTATATATTTTTTTGGTTAATTCCATTGGCTCCATTGTCTAAGCAATGCTGCAATAGTAAAAATTGACAACTGTGTCTTGCTCATGAAATTAAAAGAACCATTTTTTTTTTACTAGTAGGTATGAATTGTGGTACTGGTGATTTTTATCTCCTTATGAATCTGACTTATGTTAAGGAAGCATTTGTCGAATTTACCAGACCTTTCTACATTTTTTCTTCCTAACTTGACACCACTCCTTAAATTTTGGATGTTTATAAATGGCTTTCTGAATGTTTCTTCAATTCATTTCAAAGTGTAAAATATCTGGCCAAAATTATCCCAGATACTTTACATTATGATAAACTCTATGCACTTAACATTTTCTATTTTCAGATTTGGCAAAGTTCCATTACCATAGCATTATTTTTTATTTCTCTTAGGTCACTGTGTTTTGTTTGAGGAAATGTTTAGTTTTAGTTTTAAGTTGTTGTTTTCAAATTGTTTTTGCATTACTTCATTTCTTGGAAGTCAAAATATAAGCTTTTCTTTTTTTAACTCTGCAGATAGACTAACATAATTTGGAAAGTAGAATACTTAAGCTTATATTCAATTATAAGTAGATTACTAGAAACAATGAGCAGCAAGGTATAAAAGACTTCAGTCTTCTCATGCCTTATATATTTTGAAAATTAAGGTGCATATTATAGCATAATACCATCTTAATTCATTAAACAATTATGAGAAGACACTTTTCAGAGTCATATATCCCTATTTTCAATAATATCCCACGGCGTTTTATGTTACAAGAATCAATGAAGGAAGAAAAAATCTTATAGAAACCATTTCAATTTGAACTCCTTAGAAGTTTTAAAGAAATGGATGGAAGGAATCCATCACTGTGTTAAACATCTTTTTAATTCATATTGTTCATCTTCAAAATTTTAAAGAAAGATAATACGAGTTCTATACAGTGTTTCAATTGTTACATCATGAAACAAAACCATTTTTTTTATCAACACTAAAGGGATTCTTCCAATTTTTCACCTAATTTCCAAATTTTTCTATGTCCCTATAGCTGTTATTGAGGAAAACAATCTTCAAATATCTTAGTGATAATTTTGAACCACCATGATATTCCTTTTCAAAAGGTATTAATAAAGGAGTCATTGAAAATCAGGAACCTAGACCATGTAATTTAGAATTAAAGATGTACAATTTTTTAATATTTATTTTTAGAGAGAGAGAGAGAGCACAAGCTGGGGAGGGGCAGAGAGAGAAAGGAAGAAAGAGAATCCTAAGAAGATGACAGCAGAGTGTGACACTGGGCTCAAACTCATGAACCATGAGATCATGACCTGAGGCAAAATCAAGAGTCTTTCCCTTAACCAACTGATGCACCCAGGTGCCCCTAAATATATACAATTCTGTCAATACCTCAGCAGAGATCTAAATCTCAAAAATACATCAGCAGAGATCTAAATCTCAAAAATACAAAGAGCATCTAGAAGTTACAAGTGATGGAGGATAAGTTACTAGAAATCATACTGACAGACAAGAGTAGTTTCAGTGAACCTGGGCCATGAATGTATTGGTGGGAAATAACTAAGCGAAGTGAGTTTGCATTATGAAGAGAAAACATTATCTTTTGTATTCCAGGAGCCCACAAGACCAATGGAAGTAGTAGCATTCTCAGAATATCCCAAAGGAGACCTTCAATTGTAGCCAAACCATGAACTTTCTGGTTATTGGGAACTTTGCTAAAATTACCATCAGATTTGATTGTGTATTTCAATAGATATCCCTTACAATAAATTTTAAGCTATGAAAGTCATCACTGGTAAGGTTACCAAAAACCAAAGGATCAGTAGATAATATTCTTATGTCCAACCCAGTGACACCAAATAAGAACTCTTAAAGGTAAAATGATATTGTCCTTGCCAAATTGGAACTATAGATAATATATGATGCTTAATAAGAAGACCTGGAGTTTCCTCTGAAAACCCTCTGAAATTAGAAATCAGTAATACTATACATTGTCTGTAAGAAGTCAGAGTCCATGATTGTCTTCTAAATGGATCATAATATTCTTGAAGAACACTTGTTTTCAGCTATCTGAAATTAAAATGTACAATTTACAAATTATTGTCATCTGGTTCAAAGTTAATGGCTGGGTGCTTAAACTATCAAGAAAGATTTAAATAATCTAAGTGTGTGATCACCATTATTTCTTGAATCCTATCTTGTTCCATGGTTTCGGAAGACCCCTGAATTGTGACTGAAGCTTCAAAGAGAATTAGCACAGCTGGATGTCAAAGCCCAAAGTGCAGACATAAAGATCCTCGTGGCATAATGAAGTCATGTCAAAGTTAAACTTTTCAAGGCCATAAAGAAAAATTGAAGGGACAAAGTTTCAAAAGTAACTGTCTAGTTAAAAATTACTCTTAAATTACCTTTAAATATGGAGGGGAGGAGTCAGGGTACACTACCTACACTCTCCTTTTATTAAAGTTAATATTTAATAGGTTGTTTCTGATATATGTAGATGAGCCAATAATGCAATTATAAGGAAAAAAAGGAAGAACGATATCAGAGTGAAGTCAAAAAGGAAGAAAATGAGGAAGCTATGCATAAGCCAGATGTAACCAGTAGAATTATAATTCATTAGTTAACAGAAACTTTTCCTAGGAGCAGAGCAATAAAAGTCTGGAAAGCTTTAAATTGATGAGGTAAAAACAAGTGAATTTGAATCTATGAAAAAAAAGGAAGGAAAGGGGAAAGCAGGAAATGGGGGGGGGGGATGGTCAGCACATAGGACAGAAAGGATATGACATCACAAAGCCCACTGGCTCTAAGCAGTTAGGAGCACTGTTTATCTGTTTGGGAAGTGAAAGGTGAAACTTCCCCTTAGAGACCTGTCCATGCCTTCTTCACTGGTTCTCCCAAACCCACATTAGTCCTAATTCCGCCATTCCTAATTCCCAAAAGAGTGAAGACAGGACTCATGAACATGGAAGACTCTGAAGAAAGCCCAACAGAGAAGCAAAGCCTGGTTCAAGGCACCTCAGTAACATTGAATAGTGACACTGGTACAGATAAAGTTCTTGCCTCACTAGAAGGCAAGAGGAAGCGGAAAGGGTACTTGCCAACTGAATCAGTGAAGATTCTCCGTGACTGGCTGTATGAACACCGGTTTAAGGCCTACCCTTCAGAAGCAGAGAAGCGAATGCTGTCTGAGCAGACTAATTTGTCTTTCCTACAGGTCTCAAACTGGTTTATCAATGCCCGCAGACGTGTTCTTCCAGAAATGCTTCAACAGGATGGAAACGACCCCAATCAGATCACCATGTACCACCAAAAAGGCAAGTCTGCTGATATGACCCATAAGCAGAACACAGATTCATCTATACAGGCAAGGTCAGGGCCCAGAGATCCAGACAAGATGCAGTGGCTGCCCCTGAGCATCCCTGTAATGGACCAGCCATTGGAGGAGAAGCTGCTGGATCCAGAGTTGTCTACAGGCCAGAAGCTCACCCCAAAGGCCCAGCCAAAAAAAAAGGTCAAGATTTCTACTAATGAGCCTGTGCTTATGTCATCTTCCGAACCTGTGTTAACAGAAGAGTACAATGACTTCAGCAGCTTCCAGCTGCTGGTCGATGCAGCCGTGCAAAAGGCTGCAGAACTGGAGTTACAGAAGAAGCAAGAATCCAATCCATGATATCCAATGTCCCTAAAATTATCAAGTAGTTAGTCCCTTGTCTACAGCAGTAGATCCATCTCTGCTCCTCCAACTAATGAATAGTTTTATATTTTATAGAGACCTTTTCCTTCTAGGGGTTCCATAAGAACCATTACTAGCTATTGGGACACAATTCTGCTAGATATTTCAGTGTTTCCAGATGGACTTGTCATCATGATTAACACTAAAATAAAGATATCTTCTTTGCTTCGACTATCTCCTGGATTTAAAGGCTTCAGACAATCAGACCAATATATCTGAGACTAGACACAGTACTGAGACATCTTCGGAAGCCTTGCTTTGACTTTTCTAATCAGACTTTTTGATCCCAGGGTTGCTGCAAATACCACAGCACCAATATGTCTCCCTCTGTCTAACTTTCCTTGTTGATTAGCATGAAAAATGGAAAAGAAAGGCTCTATAAAAGATGACTATAACAACACTGGTGTCATTTTAATGTTGGAGTTTTTGTGAAAATTTCAACTTTATGTTTTTCTTTGTATAGTTTATTGACAATCTTCAGGAGTAGCTATTTTTTGTTTGCAGGCGGTAAACATGAGTCAAAATACAGTGAATTCATGAACATGTTACAGATAAGGGTGCACTCATATTTAGCATACTAGTGAAGAAGTATGCAGTAAGATACAAAAATTCTACATGGTAATTTTCAGTTGTTAGTTCCAGCATAGTTGTTTTCAGAGGATACTTTTTTGTTTAGTATTTATTTATTTATTTATTTATTTATTTATTTATTTATTTATTTATTTTTGAAGGGCTTAAACAAGTTTATTTTTCACAGTTCTGGAGGCTAGAAATCCAACATCAAGGTGCCAATTTGGGCACATTCTTATCAAGGCACTCACCTCTTGGTTCATAGACAGCACCTTGTGTCCTTGTATGATTAAAGAGGCTAGTGCTCACTGAAGCATCTTTTATAAAGGCATTCACCCCATTCATGAGGTCTCCACTCTCATGACCTAAGCACCTCCTAAAGCCTTATCTCTAATCCTATCATCTTTGGGATGACTTCAACACATTAATTTCAACATATGAATTTGGGGGAGACACAAACATATAGAAAATATTAGTTATATACACATATGTATTTATAAATATATACACACATATTAAATATAAAATATGTTAACATATAAAATGCTAAATGTTAAATATATACATATTTATTTAACATTTCAATTCCTGCTTATTGTCCTTAGAATAAAATAGGAATTTATATTTTAAACATTTTTTTTTTAATTTGAGCATAGTTGACATGTTATATTAGTTTCAGGTGTACAATATAGTGTTTCAACTTCTCTATATGCTATGCTCACCACAAGTGTAAGTTACCATCTGTCCCCATACACTATTACAATATCATTGATTATATTCCCTATGTTGTGCCTTTTATTACATGAATTATTTCATAACTGGAAGTCTGTACTCCCACTCCCCCTCACCCCTTTTGGCCCATCTCCCCTTATCTCTAGTAACCATCAGTTTGCTTTCTGTATTTATAAGCCTGACTGTAACTTTTGTTTGTTTATTTGCTTTGTTTTTTAGAGTCCACGTGTGAGTGCAATGATGTGATGCTTATCTTTCTCAGTCTTTACGTAACATAATACCTTCTATGTCCATCAATGTTGGAAATGACAAGATTTTTTTTTATGTTATCCATTTGTCTATTGAAGGACACCTAGGTGGCTGCTGTATCTTGGCTAATATAAATAATGCTGAAATAGGGATAAGAGAGCATATATATTTGTGAATTAGTATTTTCATGTTTGTTGGGTATATACTTAGTAGTGAAATTACTGGATCATATAGTATTTATCTTTATAATTTTTTGAGAAAACTCCATGCTGTTTTTCAGAGTGGCTGTACCCACGTACATTCCCACCAATAGTGCATGAGGATACCTTTTTTCTCCACGACCTCACCAACACTTGTTCTTTCTTTCTTCTTTCTTTCTTCTTTCTTTCTTTCTTTCTTTCTTTCTTTCTTTCTTTCTTTCTTTCTTTCTTTCTTTCTTCCGTTATTCTGACAAGCATGATGTGATGTCTCATTGTGGTTTTCATTTGCATTTCCATGAGAATTAGAGATGCTGAGCATATTTTCATGTGTCTCCTATCCATATATATGTCTCCTTTGGAAAAAAATGTCTATCCAGGTCATCTGCACATTTTTACATTTATTTATTTTTGAGACAGAGCATGAATGGTGGAGGGTTAGAGAGAGAGGGAGACATAGAATCTGAAACAGGCTCCAGGCTCTGAGCTGTAAGCACAGAGCCCAACGTGGGGCTCGAGCTCGTGGACCATGAGATCATGAACTAAGCTGAAGATGGATGCTTAACTGACTGGGTCCCCAAGGCACCCCATTTGCACATTTTTTAAAATCAGGTTGTTTGGTTTTTGGTAATCAGTTGTGTATGTTCTTAATATAGTTTGGATATTAGATCTTTATTGGAATTGTCATTCATAAATATCTTCTCCCATTCAGTAGATTGCCTTTTTGTTTTGTCAATGGTTTCCGATACTGTACAGATGATTTTTACATTTTATTTTCATTTTATTTTATTTTATTTTTATAATATATGAAGTTTACTGTCAAATTGGTTTCCATACAACACCCAGTGCTCATCCCAAAAGGTGCCCTCCTCAATACCCACCACCCACCCTCCCCTCCCTCCCACTCCCCCATCAACCCTCAGTTCTCAGTTTTTAAGATTCTCTTATGTTTTGGATTTCTTCTACTCTAACCTCTTTTTTTTTTTCCTACCCCTCCCCCATGGGTTTCTGTTAAGTTTCTCAGGATCCACATAAGAGTGAAACCATGTGGTATCTGTCTTTCTCTGTATGGCTTATTTCACTTAGCATAACACTCTCCAATTCCATCCGTGTTGCTACAAAGGGTCATATTTCCTTTTACTCATTGCCACGTAGTACTCCATTGTGTATATAAACCAC